AGAGAGAGAGAGAGAGAGAGAGAGAGAGAGAGAGAGAGAGAGAGAGAGAGAGAATGGCGTTTTCACTATAAGAAAAACCCAATTCCAGAGAGAATTGTTCATGGAACCACTATAGAAATCATTTGGACTATTTTCCCTAGTATATCAGTGTTGCACACCCCGACCGTCAGCGACCCTTGACTGGTCGGCTGCCGACCCGCCGACCGGTCGGCTGGTCGGCACCTACTGGTCGGGGGTCGTCAGCACCCCGCATTTTTATATATTTTTTTTATGGGGTCCAGAACCCCTAATAATATCACCAACACCCCCATAGCGGGCCCCAATACCCCATATACCATGCCAACAGCCCCGAACAGCCGCCAACACCCTTATTAAACTCTCCATAACCCCCTATATCACCCCTATACTCCGGCGCATCACGTGCGGGCGAGCTACGCACCTGTGGCGCCTAGTGCACGCGCAACCATGCGCGTGCACCCCAATAAATAGAGTAAAAAATTTTTGTAGAGGGCTGGCTGAGGTAGCCAATGGTGCCCCTCCCTTCTAAAATGTCGAAGGGCACAGAAAAAAAAAATTGAGCACACGTTTTCCTTGTTGAATTGTCCTTTTCCCGAAGGACCCCAGTGCATCTGCAAAGGTCCCAACGTCTCAAGAGACGTTCAGCAAATTTCATGTGAGAATGGAGCAGCCCAGCAATATATGTTCTGGATCCGAAGTCAGGTCTGCTTTCCAGCAGTTATGGGTTACACGATACAACTACTTACTACCGTAGCTCTCTCTTTCTTTTGTTTCATTTTCCTACGAGCAGTGGCCCTAAGGGCCTTGCTCCACTCGTCACTACTTGCACAAAAGACAAAACATATGGCGGCGTATGAGTCCATGTTCTAGCAGAAGATTCATTCCTCGCTTTCTTTTGTTTCCTTTTGCTATGAGCAGTGGCCCTAAGGGCCTCGCTCCACTCGTCACCACTTGCACAAAGACAAATCATATGGCGGCGTATGGTTCCATGTTTTAGCAGAAGATTCATTCTAGTTTTGCACATTTGGTGAGTAGTGGAGGGAAGCCCTGGAAAGCACGCGGTGAGTTGGCCTTCTACTGCCCAGAAACTCGTGTGCTCAGTGGTCCCATAACTCCTGAAACACGGACCTTAATGTGAATCAACAGCATATATACTTGGCGTGCCATGACTCTGCAATGAGCAGTACCTCGTTCACGGTGAGGTAGCCCTTGCTAATTATGTGCAAGGGCCTCTCAAATGACCCCCAGGGGTTTTCAAATAAATGTTAAGGAGCTATTTG